CTTACGTTGCCTTAGAAGTACGTCACGCTATATTTATGGGGCTTACTGGCTCTGTGAGAAGCATGCACAGGACTGTAGCTTTAAGGGCCAGTTAGAGCAACAGGGAGAAAAAAAGTGCAAAATGTGATTGTATCCTGCTTCCCTTTGGCTGAAGGGCAATCCCTGACCCGGAGGGGAAATTTTCTTTCAGTCACAAACCCTCTCCAGACCAAGTAAGAAATACGAGCAGCAGTCCTGAGGAGGCAACCTCACTATAACAGCCTGTTCACACATTTAATTTTTATGTGGTGGTCGGGAGTATCGGCCTTCGATTGAGGTATCCTAGATTCAGATCCCCACCCACCCACTTCCCGTCTGATGCATGATGCTCAGCGAGTGATCTTGGGCCCAGTCTCTCATTCTGCTTCTCAGCATAACTTGCCTCGGAAGGGTCGTTGGGAGGATGAAGTTGATAGTGGTGATAGGGGAAACCCCGGGCTCCTTGGAAGAAGAGAAGAACAACACAGATGTACCACAACCACCATATTGCAGTTCCAGAGGTGTAATTGTGTAAATATGTAGCAAGAAGAAGAAGAGATTGGATTTATACCCCGCCCTTCACTACCCAAAGTTGTCTCAGAGTGGCTCACAAACTCCTTTCCCTTCCCCTCCCCACAACAGACACCCTGGGAGGTAGGTGGGGCTGAGAGAGCTCTTAACAGAAACTGCTCTTTTTCAAGAACATCTCTTATCAGAACTACGGCTTGCCCAAGGTCATCCAGCCAGGTGCAAGTGGAGGAGTGGGGAATCAAACCCGGTTCTCCCAGATTAGAGTCCGCGCACTTCACTACTACACCAAACTAAAGAAAAATCTACAGGGGACTGAGTGGCCCCTCCAAGACCAGATAGGTGTATTCATGCTTTTAACTCTAGCTTTTGTGGTCTGGAGCCCAGTTTGTACTTTTCCAACGTCAATTAAAATCAACTGCACTTCAGAAGACTTTGAAGAGCGCCCCTGTCTCCTTTATCGTGCTCTTTGCAACCTTCTTTGTGAGGAAAGGAAAGTTAAAGCGTTTTTAGGTGTTGGGATCCAGTCGAAGTGGATGAGTCTTCCATCAGCGGTTCCTTTGCGGTTCCCCAGCGTAGGTGGGAAACGGCTGCCTCTGTCTAACAGCATGACGGATCGTTTCTCTTAATTGTGCTGCATCTGCCTTTCTAGAGCTCCCTCCTGACCCATATCTAGCAGGTGGAAAACTGCGTGTCTTTTAATTTCAGAAGCGATAGTCTCCTAAAAGGAGCTAATGGAGGCAGATTACGTCGGTGATGAGTACATAAAATTGTTTTGCAATTCTCTTTGGGATGTAAGATTTCCAGAAACTTTTGTTGCTATGGACGGGTGTAGTGGATCCTTCTCTCTCTCTCTCTCTCTCTTTTGAGTTGGGGCAAGTTTTGGGGAGGGGGGGTGCTCGAACTATATGGAAAACTTGCAGTATTTGCTTTCTTATCCAGCCTAAATTTATTTTTCTTCTTCGCCAGCGTTAAATGCATCACGTGTAACGTAGTATACAAAGAAAAGAGCAAGAGTCCAGGAGCACCTTAATGACTAACACAATTTATGGCAGGGGATGAGCTTTCGTGAGTCACTTGCTCACTTCAGTATATAAAGTAGTACTGTGGCGTGCTTATAAATTTTTAAAGTATACGAGCTTTAAATTTTAAAATTTAATTTTATATATTGTTTCTCTGTCACGATATTTTATGCGACCTTGTAAGCGGCCCTGCGCCCAGGAGGCCGGGATATAAATCAAAGAAATTAAATAAAAATAAATACATAGTTTTAAATGAAAGCAAAGTTATGAATATACTCAATAGCAGAGAGACCTTGGAAGCTGTTATGCACCCTGTGCTACATTAACATATGTATCTTGGGTTTTGGCATAAGAGAGGCAGGGAAAAATAAAAAGTTAAAAATAGAAGACAATTTCTGTAGTAAACATAAAAATGCTACTATATTTTGTGGGATACTCTCACGACATGACTAAGAAGGATATCTTGATATTGATGAACTTTTAAAGACTGAACTCTCTTAAACTTTTTAAAGATTGACCTTGCTGGTGTATTATCATGAGTATTGCAAATCAGTTGTGGACAATAAGCACATCCTTGAAAGTATGCTATATATGAGAGCCAGTTTGGTTTAGTGGTTAAGTGTGCGGACTTTAATCTGGGAGCACTGGGTTTGATTCCCCACTCTTCCACTTGCACCTGGGTGGATGACCTTGGGCAAGCCGTAGTTCTGTCAGAGCTGTTCTCTCAGAGCTCTCTCAGCCCCACCCGCCTCACAGGGTGTCTGTTGTGGGGAGGGGAAGGGAAATGAGTTTGTAAGCTGCTCTGAGACACCTCTGGGTAGTGAAGGGTGGGGTATAAATCCAATCTCCTCTTCTTCTTATGTCTGCCGTGTACACAGGAATCATCATCTAATGCTGTTGATTGTTTTACACAGATGTCTTCATATGATGAGTCTTGGCTGTGTAAAACCTTGCCCTTAAAAGTATTTTCACGTTCCATATTATTGGAGCTTTTTACAGTGCTTCCCAAAATTTTCCAAGTTTTGTTGATTGCAAAAAACTCACAAAAAACTGGGGGGGAGGGATCCTTGGATACGAATGTTGGACCTCCATGGTTTCCCTCCTTAGCCACACTTGCCCTGTCCAGTTACAGATCTGATTGACAGAACGTAGGTGACGAAACCAGCATTAGTTGAGGCAAACGAGGGTTTGTACGAATGTCTGCAGGCTGAACCTTGGTTTCACAAACTAAACAGAGTTAAAAAGAAACCATGATTTCACCTTTGTGTCTGAACTGAGCTTTTCTCTTGTGTGTGGGCTGGTTTAGACATGGATCACACCCAAGTGGTGCTTTTCCTGGACTCTGCGGTTTTAGTGATAGGGACTGAATGGGCGGGCAAGACTTTGTACATAGCAAAGCACCACGTCAGGGAGAAGGCTGCCGTGCCCCAGGGCATTCTAGTTTTCTTTGTGCAGGGAAGTTTGTCCAAACTTTGGGAAGGGAGGAGGTAAAAAGGCAACACCCACCTGAAGCTTAAGCTGAACTGTATGGTTCTCTTTAGTGTAAATTCTGGCCCATGTTGGAGCAACCATCAAACCCTGCATTTAGGTGTATTTTTAAATGCCTGTCCTGGTAAGAATTTTTCAGTTCTTTTTTTTTTTTTTACATAGGATAGAGAATGACATACATGCACTCAGCACAGTATTATATCATTGGAAAAAGTGCAGAAAATGGCAACTAGAATGATAAAAGGGTTGCAACACTTTCCCTCTGAAGAAATGTTAAACCGCTTGGGGCTCTTTAGCTTGGAGAAACAACGGCTGAGGGGTGACATGATCAAGGTTTATAAGATTATGCATGCGATAGAGCAGGTAGAGAAAGAAGTCCTTTTCTCCTTTTCTCACAATACAAGAACTCATGGGCACTCAATGAAATTGCTGAGCAGTCAGGTTAGAACTGATTAAAGGAAGTCCTTCTTCACCCAAAGAGTGATTGACACATGGAATTCACTGCCGCAGGAGGTGGCAGTGGCTACAAGCATGGACGGCTTCAAAAGGGAATTAGATAAGCATATGGAGCAGAGGTCCATCAGTGGCTATTAGCCACAAGGTATTGATAGGGACTCTCAGGCTGGGGCAGGTGATGCTCTGTATTCTTGGTGCTTGGAGGGGGGGGCAACAGTGGGAGGGCTCCTAGTGTCCTGGCCCCACTGCTGGACCTCCTGAGGGCACCTGGTCTTTTTGGCCACTGCGTGATAGAGTGTTGGACTGGATGGGCCATTGGCCTGATCCAACATTGGCTTCTCTTATGTTCTTATATGGATCTGAGGTCCATCAGTGGCTATTAGCCACAAGGTATAGATAGGAACTCTCCGTCTGGGGCAAGGGATGCTCTGTCTTCTTGGTGCTTGTGGGGGGGGGCAACAGTGGGAGGGCTTCTAGTGTCCTGGCCCCACTGCTGGACCTCCTGAGGGCACCTGGTATTTTTGGCCACTGTGTGACAGAGTGTTGGACTGGACGGGCCTTTGGCCTGATCCAACACTGGCTTCTCTTATGTTCACAGTAAACATTCACATGCTCTGTTAGGTCACTTAACACGTAAATATGGAGAGGTGTATCGATGCGTGTGCCCTGAGACCTGGACGTTCCAGGCTAGCCTGATCTCATCAGATCTTGGAGGCTAAGAAAATTGTGAAATGTAAATTTAAGAAAGAACCTGAAATATTACTTTTGGGACTTAAAATGGAAGAAGCCAACATGGCGAAAAGGACTTTGATGTGGTATATGATTACAACTGCTAGAATGACATATGCTCAATGCTGGAAACATGAAAGAACTCCTGAAATCGGGGAGTGGATAAAAAAAATTACTTTTTATGGTTGAAATGGACAAAATGACAAGAAAGCTTAAAAATCTGGAAGCAGAAGAATTTTTTGCAGATTGGAAAGACTTTAAAGGATATTTAGAGAAATATTGGGATGTAAAGAACAACTTACTTTGCTTTGAAAATGATTGAAAAAAGATTGACTTTAGAAGAAGTGTAAATGTATAAGAATTTTAGTTAAAGGATATGTTACCTATAGAATTTGATTAACGAGTAAAGGAGAGAAGAAGGGAAAATAAGATATGGGCTGGAGTTTGGAGCACTGTGGGAAGTCAAAAGGGGTGGGGAAATAGGAGAAAAGGCTATATGATATTTAGCAATGTGATGTATATTTGACCTATTAATATATCCTAATAAAATTGTTTTTAAAAAGAAAAAGATCTTGGAAGCTAAGGCGGGTCGGCTCTGTTTAGTACTTGGGTGGAGCAGAGGCAGGAAGCTGCAAAACCACCTCTGAACCTCCCTTGCCTTGAAAACCTGTTGTTGTTCCCATAAGTCAGATGTGACTCGGTGGCACTTTCAATCACATTGATGTATGTAAAAAGGTTCTGTTTTTTCCCTTCCCCTAGGTCCTGGGATATTTACCAACACCGCTGGATTACATAAATTTGCAGACATAATCCAGGTAAATCTCTGTTCTTTCCTCCTGTATATTTGGCGACGACTGAAGGCTGTTGAGAGGCTACATACTCTGTGTTAAAATCCACAGCCGGTCTGTCATGGGGTACTGAGAGATGATGATGAAGAAGAGGAGATTGGATTTATACCCCACCCTTCACTCCCCAAGGGAGTCTCAGAGCGGCCGACAAACTCCTTTCCCTTCCCCTCCCCACAACAGACACCTTGTGAGGCAGGTGGGGCTGAGAGAGCTCTTGACAGAAACTGCTCTTTTTTAAAGGACAGCTCTTATCAGAACTACGGCTTGCCCAAGGTCACCCAGCCAGGTGCAAGTGGAGGAGTGGGGAATCAAACCCGGTTCTCCCAGATTAGAGTCTGCGCACTTAACCACTACACCAAACTGGCTGTCTTATACCTCACCCTTCACTACCCAAGGGAGTCTCAGAGCGGCTTACAAACTCCTTTCCCTTCCCCTCCCCACAACAGACACCCTGTGAGGTAGGTGGGGGCTGAGAGAGCTCTGACGTAAACTCTTTTTTTCAAGAACAGCTCTTATCAGAACAACGGCTTGCTCAAGGTCACCCAGCCAGGTGCAAATGGAGGAGTAGGGAACCAAACCTGGTTCTCCCAGATTAACTTAACCACTACACCAAACTGGCATGAGATCCCCATGATAGATGGTGCATGTAAACCAGGGGTAAAGTAGTTATCAGGGAAACAGGGAGGTCAAAATCCCTTCAGTTGCAATCCCATATTCAGCATTTTTGTTGTTGTTCAGTCGCACAGTCGAGTCCGACTCTTCACGACCCCATGGATCATCTCCCGCCAGGCCCTCCTTTTAAAATGATATGAGTTGTTGACCGAGGCTTGGATGGTACAGGGAAGTAGTTTTCCCCCCATTTCCCTACGGCATCAGGGTGCTTCTGTGCACATTCCAGGGTTTCTCTGTCTTTTGGTGCAGTGGTTAAGTGTGCGGACTCTAATCTGGGAGAACCGGGTTTGATTCCCTCACTCCTCCACTTGCAGCTGCTGATGTGACCTTGGGTCAGTCACAAGCTCTGGCACAGCTGTTCCTGAAAGAGCAGTTTGTGTCAGAGCTCTCTCAGCCCCACCCACCTCACAGGGTGTCTGTTGTGGGGAGGGGAATGGAAAGGACCTTATAAGCCGCTCTGAGACTCCAAGTGAAGGGCAGGGTATAAATCCAATCTCTTCTTCGTTTTCTTCTTCTTCTTCTTTCGTGTGGTCTTTCCTAAACCTGCATTCTGTGATGTTAAAAGAGAGATCGCAGCAAAGATGGAAAAGTTCAGATCTTCCATGGATTCTTCCTCATCGATACCATTTTCCCTGCCCTAGTTCTGCATGGTTGCCATTCTCCTCCTGCTACTGGGGGAGTCTTTTTTTTTAATTGGCAAATTACATATTGTTATAACAATCTGTCTGCTGGTTCCTCTGAATTCCCAGCTTTAAAAAAAAAGTAAGCCTGTAGCCCCTTTCGTTGGCAGTAAAAGGGGAACTTCATTGAGCGGGGGGGGGGTCGGACTAGATGGCCTGCATGGCCCCTTCCAACTCTGTGACTCTATGATTCTATGACTTGCTGTTTTAAAAAAGCGAAAGCTCTGGACTCAAACTTTGTTCTAGAAAACAGATTGCTATAGCAGTGAAAATCCCCTCCATCTCACAGGGCGGGAGGGATGAGTGTCACGGAAGACTGATGCATGGAAAAACATGGGGAAACCCACCTTGCAGAAGCCTCATTGCCGCTCTGCGGAACTAGCAGCTGCGGTGGTGATGGGGAAACCACACGATCCTGTGATTATGTGGAAAACACCTAGGTCTTACGATGTACTTGGCTGTGTGTGCCCATGATTGGTGTTTGGATCGCATGTGTAAGTTGATGGGATACTGAGAGAACAATTTCCCCCTGACTGCCAGCAATTGAGGCTGCGTTCTGTGGGCCTGCGTATTCCATGACCTCGGTCTGAAGCTTTGAATGACATTTGACTGCTTGCAGTAAGGTGAAAGTTCCAGTTTATGTCTGGCATTTGTCAGTGTAGCCGTGTATTACAGTAGAAGTTCAGCAGAACACCAGATGTACAATTGGAGAGGTGGGGTGAGAGGGAATGGCGCTGAACTAGAATGATCAAAACTTTTTCCATAACCCCCCCCCTCCCAAAAGGAGACCAAATGGGAGCCAGCTTGTCAATCCCACTCTTTAGACACCACTTGGCTAGTTTGAGGGTTGAAAGTGCCCCAACAGCAGGCTATTTTTGGGCAGGAACGCACAGGAACGTAGTTCCGGCTGGCTCCCAAGTTGGCCACGCCCAGCAGGAACTCATTAGCATAATAGACCACACCCAACAGCAGGAACACATTAGGATTGGCTGCATTAGGGGTGTGTGGCCTAACATGCAAAGGAGTTCCTGATACAAAAAAAGGCCCTGGGTTTTGACAACAAACAAGGTAAACAGAATAAGAAGCAAAAGGTGGGTGTGGCTGGATGACCACACTTCTGGCAACATGGGGGTGCGGCCCAATGTGCTAATGAGCTGTGCTGTCATGGGTGTGGCTTAATATGCTAATGAGTTCCTGCTGTTTGGTGTGGCCTATTATGCTAATGAGCTCCTGCTGGGCTTTTTCTACAAAAAGAGCCCTGCGCCAACAGGAAAGACTTCCCTGTGTGTGTCTTCATATTCATTACTGAGCTGTGAAGAGTCTGAGCCGGTCTAACATCCTTCCTGCTAACAATGGATAAACCCCCCCCCCCCAGTGCTTTATGGGGACTTAGGACTTTTATCCACGACATATGCTAATCTTCTGCCCCCCCAGCATTTCCCCTCTGCTCCAATCAAGCTGATTACAGTATGCATTGTACCCTTGCATCTTTTGCAAGCATCCTTCACAACAACCCTCCCCTCCTTCTGACCAGGACAAAAGGACTCAGATCCCCATTTCTACTCATGTCTGATGAAGAGAGCTTAGACTCTAAAAAGCTTGTGCCCTGAAATTCCTGTTGGTCTCCAGGGTGCTTTGTTGTTGTTGTTGTTCAGTCGCACAGTCGAGTCCGACTCTTCGCAACCCCATGGACCAGATCCCGCCAGGCCTTCCTGTCTTCCGCCGTCCTCTGAAGTTGGCTCAACTTCATGTTCTTTGCATCTATGACACTGTCTCACCATCTCATCCTTTGCCGTCCCCATCTTCTTTGACCTTCAATCTTTCCCAGCATCAGGGTCTTCTTCTCCAGTGAGTGCTCCCTTCTCATTGGGTGGCCAAAGTCTTTGAGCTTCAGTTTCAGTATCTGGCCTTCCAGGGGTGCTACTGCTCTCGAATCTAACTATCCTTCCTGCTGCCGATGTGACACTGAGGCCATAACAGGAATAAACAGCTTTAAAAGGGGATTAGATAAGTTTCATGGAGGATAAGTCTATCAGTGGCTACTAGCCATGGGGACTGAGGGGAACCTCCACATTCAGAGGCACTAAGCCCCTGAATCCCAGAGCCAGGAGGCAACATAAAGGGAAGGCTTCAGCCTCTGTGCCCTGTTGTTGGCCCTCCAGGGGAACTGGCTGGCCCCTGTGTGAGACAGGAGGCTGGACTAGAGGGACCACTGGTCTGGTCCAGCAGGGCTCTTCTGATGTTCTTACAAAGGCCTCGGCCTGTCTGCCCTGTTGTTGGCCCTCCAGGGGAACTGGCTGGCCCCTGTGTGAGACAGGAGGCTGGACTAGAGGGACCACTGGTCTGGTCCAGCAGGGCTCTTCTGATGTTCTTACAAAGGCCTCGGCCTGTCTGCCCTGTTGTTGGCCCTCCAGGGGAACTGGCTGGCCCCTGTGTGAGACAGGAGGCTGGACTAGATGGTCCACTGGTCTGATCCAGCAGGGCTCTTCTTATGCTCTCATGATTTCACAGCACCGGCAGGGCTACCCATGTAGTTTCATACATAACGATCCTCATCCAGAGCACAGTCAGGTGGCAGTTTTTTTTCAGCAGCCTCCACGCAGAGCGGTGGGGCTCACTCCACAGCTCATGGAGAGCCATGTTTGCAATTCCCATCAGCCAGAAGAGTCACATCTGCTTCCATCTCTGGCCTGAGTTCCTGCACCTCAAGGGGGCTCTCATGTTGCCCGCCCCTCTGGTGGGGGCTGTTTCAGAGTGGGCAACACCTGCCAGGCAAGGGCCTTGCCCCTGTTCCTGGAACATCGGGATCCGTGCTCAGAAGAGCCACAGGCGGCATGTCAGTGGCTCCTCACTGAGTGGCTATCACAGGCATAGGGGGTAATATCTGAACTGGCCCTTAGGAGTTGCTGTGCATTTAGTTATATTTATTAGGTAAATCCTGTACTTTGTTCCTTATTAGGAGCTCAGGGGAACTTACACAATCACACCCAACATTAAAACAATAAAATACTGTAAATTTTAAAAAGCAGTATGGTAACATGAGACATCATAAAAAGTCCAGTAGTCTACCAATACTATCTGTTGTAGAACAAAGTTTGAGTCCAGTGGCACCTTTAAGGCCAACAAAGTTTTATTCTGGGTATAAGCGTTTGTGTGCAAGCACACTTCTTCAGATACATAGAAACAGAAGGCACCAAGCATTATATATAGGTAGCGGTAGAAAAGAGCAAGAGTCCAGTAGCACCTTAAAAAAAGGTGAAGGTTCCCTTGCTCGAAAGCCAGTCGAGTCCGACTCTAGGGTTGCGGTGCTCATCTCCGTTTCCAAGCCAAAGAGCCAGCGCTGTCCGAAGACGTTTCCGCAGTCATGTGGCCAGCATGACTAAACACCAAGGCGCACGGAACGCTGTTACCTTCCCACCGAAATGACTAACAAAATATGTGGCAGGGGATGAGCTTTCGTGAGTCACTGCTCACTTCTTCAGGGTATGAACGATCATACCCTACCACAAATTTTCTGAAGTCTTTAAGGTGCTACTAAACCAGGGGTGGCCAAACTGCAGCTCGGAAGCCACACGTGGCTCTTTCACACAGTCTAATGTAATATTAATAAAAAGC